AGACGGAGGAGACCCCTGCCACAGCAGATGGCCCCCCAGGGTTGCCGGGGGTCCCTGAGCCCGTGCCTTCCCTCCCTGCACCGCCCCCGCGCCCCTGGGCCAAGCCCCGGCTGGACACGCAGCCCCACAAGAAGCCCTCCCGGATCCCCACCCCACGGGGCTATGGGGCAGCCCCCCCTCAGCCCCCCACCAGTAGCCCCAAGCCCTGGGGGGCTCTGCAGAGTGTCCTCTCCTCCTTCCTGGACCCCCCCTGGGTCCCGCGTGAGCACGAGGGGCTGGACGAGGATGCCTGGCCATGAGACGCCCAGCTCGATAGCCACGGGTGGCAAGCAGGACAGGGAGAAGCCCCCAGCACCCCCCCTCCCCGGGGGACATCACGGAGCTGCTGCTGGCGATGGCACCTGTGTGGAGAGGCCCCAGCCAGGCGATGGCCAAGGAGCCGGGACCCCTTCGCTCAGTGACTGTTGGTAGTTGGGGTTGGGGTCTGCCAGAAGCCCCTGGCCCCAGCCAGGTGCAAAGGGCCCCGGACACACCCTGGTCCCCATGGAGAGCAGCGCCATGGGGGGTGGCCATGGCGCAGTCACAGTGGTGGTGGCCAGAGTGGAGAGCTGCATCCCAGCCACCTGGGAACAGGGCTGGAAAGCAACCAACCGCTCACTTCTGATGTTTGTCTCGTCCCGTCTTCTCCTAATTCTTCTTTTCTTTTTGTCATCATCTTGGCCTTCTCTTCATCTTCTTGGCCTTCTCCTCTTGATACCTTCTTTTCATGTCATCTTCTTCTCTTCTTGGCCTTCTCCCCCTTCTCTTGTCATCTTCTCCTCTTATGTCATCTCCGCGTCATCCTCCTCCTTCTCTTCTTGGCCACCTCTTCATGTCATGTTCTACTCTTCTTGGCCTTCTCTTCTTTTCTTCTTTTCTCTTCCTCCTCTCCACAACTGCAAGGACTCGGGGACATGCAGCTTATTGGCACCTGTATTTCAGGGCAGGGGGGTTACTCCTTCCTCTCTAGCACCCATCATTCCCCCATGTCCGTAGCATCTGTTGATGTCCCTAGGGCAGGGTGGGGCTGTGCCTGGAGCCGCCTGCCCAGGCCCCCGCCCCTCCAGCCCTGCGTGTTCCCCCGAGCCAGTAAAGACCAATGGAGCTGATCCACCGTGTCCAGTCTTCTGTCCTGGGGGGGGAGGGGGGCAGGGCAAGACCCTCCAGGGGGTTTGGGACCTGCTGAGGGGCAGCCAGTGGTGAGCAGGAGGGATGCAAGACCCCCTGAGCCCAAGGACTGTGGGGCTGGGGAAGTGGTGGAGGGAAGAGCCAGGGTGAGGGTCAGCCCCCATGTTCTGCACCCATGGGGACCCCTCCACTGCCTCACAGCCCTTAGGGCTGCCTGGAGCAAAAGCATTCCAGGTCCAGGAGCCTTCACCCAAGAGCTGCTCACCCCAAGGGCACAGCCCAGCCCTGGCGCTGCCCAAGGGCTGGGTAGGTTGTGGGTCACCATGGGGTCTAGGTGGTGGCCATCCTGCTGTGACTTCAGGGTTCCCAAAACAGGGTGGCCCCTGTGGTCCCCAGGTGCCTGCCATGCACCTCCCCTGGGAGCAGGGCTGGTCTATGGTGTCCCAGAGCAGAGACAGCACCCAGCAGGGTGCCTGGTACCAGGGCTGTCACCCCATGGGGACCAGCTGCACATCCCTAACCCCAGGAGGGGCTCAGGAACATCTCCCCAGCACTGGGCACCACCACAGGGCTG